TTTGTAGGACGCTGAAAGAAGCCTGAAAGGTAAGGAGAGAGGGAACTCTGTTTTAGGGTGTTTGTATCGTCCAGTGCATTTTCGGTTCTATTACACTGCTCTGCTGTGCCTCGTATTATCGCAGTGGGAGACGATACGAGGCTTTGCGGGAGACGAACGACAACGGGGAACGGCGGTAAGGATGCGGGATATAGATTGGCGAGGAAACACTGGCAGATAGGTTTTCCGTGGGTCGGGGTTGAAGTCTAACCTACGAGGCAAGGCAAACAGAACCCCATGAACCAAAACGCTTCAGTGAGATACAAGCACTCATGATTAAATATTACAAGCGCGGTTGCCAAGCGTTACAACAGCTCACTGAGAATGCTTGCGTGCACATATTGCCACTCTTGTATTTTACTTCCGTGTATTGAATATACAATAGCGCAGTATTGGGGGAAGAGGCCAATCAGGCCGCTATCGTACCGCGAATCACACGCATTAGCGCAACCTCATCGGTCGAATTGCTCAAATCAGTTGCTTCTACTGTTCAGTCTGTCGGGTGAAACACAACCCTACAATTTGGTGTTTCTTTTTTCTGTTAGTCAGAATTATTCTATCAGTTTCCACCAACTTCCGCACTCGATAAATCAAATTTTTACGTGCTCAATGTCAATAAATGTGTGTGGATGTTCTTTTTAGCACTCATTATCAAACGATTTTAGTAACCCGTCTGAACTTGCTCTTAACAATACGCTTATGCCTAAAGCTGGATTTGACAGGGACATGAAAAGTACGCACTGGTGAAGAGTCCCAAACTGGACGAAACAGCTGTCCGGTGCTCTTTGTCGACTGTCACAAGCATTTCTATCTTGAATATACTTTATCAAATTATCTTGATAGGTACAATCATGTAGGAAACATTTACATTAGGCTTCGGGGATGGTCCTCCTAAGCCTTCAGACTTAAAAATCTCGGAGTTTCCCTGAATGTAATTCTTAAATTTTTGACAGTCTACATTCTTCCACACTGGTTAGACTGTTCTTCACGATTCTTCCTCGGTCTAAAGGAAAGTAACTGCATTCGCTTTTCTACATCTCCTAAATTTTTTACCGTTGCATTGGTATTCCATAGACGGTTTTAGCTGATTTTACTGTGTGAACGTAAGAGGCGTACTATCAAACGAAGAACACTGCCTGTTAGCCCATTTCAATAAATGTGTGTTTGACCCATGTACCCGTTCCAAATTCGCGTTTCTTCGTGCAGAAACAGGAATCCCATCATGCTTTATCTTGCCCGTCCGAGCAACTATCATTAGCGACTTGGGAAATCACTTAACACATTGGTTTTCCGTGTTATCCCGTTGTTTTTGATTTACCTAACCTTTGATATGCACATTTTCTTCACTGTCAGTTTCTAAAGTGCTAAAAATCTACCTTATTGATTGCAAGAAGTTTAACTAATCTGAAATATACTCCGCGTGATTCCTTGGTTATCCGGTCAGCGATCAAAATGAAGATTTTTAAAAATGAATAAAAAAGTTGACAAAACATGCTTATGGTCAACGCGTCTCCTGATGTCCGGATGAAATTTACTATGTGACTACAGAATTGGGTTCGAGGAAAACGGTTCTCGGCCGCATATTGATCCAGAATAAAAAGTAATCAAAAGCAATTAGTGGATGCGTCATTGTTTGACTAAGTATGCAATGAGTAATCTCTCTAAATACATTCGTGTGTTTGTGGAAGTTCTGCTTTAGTCACCCACTGCAGGCATTCACTCTGAGTGTTTTTGCTTATTTTCAACATCACTGCAAACAAGCTTGTTCGCTACTCTGCGTTTTCTTACAATGTGTAAAGATGGTATGTTCGGACATATTTTGAAATTCCCCATTAGCGCAAGGAACCTGCGTTTTCAAATGGATATTGTAAATTTGATGCTCTCAGGTACCAAATTCAGGATACGTTTCAAGTGCACCTTCCAAAATGTGTTTACTGTCAACAACTGTGATCCGAATACGGCTGAAGTCAAGCGGAAAAGTGGACTCTGACGCAGATTATGAGTGCCAAGAGAACCGATCAATCTGTTCAATAATTCTTCTTTTGAACGTGATTCCATTGAATAATATGACGACATTCAGTGCAACTCAGCGAAACGCAGTTTTCATGCTTCATTCCAAGCAGGCAACAATGGAACTGTTTGAACTGAGCGCGCCTAACCGAGTCACTTTCAATCGGTCATTGTTGCAATCGAAGTAGTGTAACTAGCTTTAGACTCAAAGGAAAAATTTAATGGAAGAGCTCTTTCATGAAGTGGTTTAATGTGAAATAGAGAGTTGGGTGTTCCTTGTTAGGTAAGCCATTGCATATAGAACGGAAAGCAAAATCTAAGAAATGGGATGAAGAAACAGTGTTTGTTCCCAAGTTGAGTGCTCTTTTGAATACAAAATGACAAAACATCCATTGGTTGTATGATACTCAAATTCGATGAAGTCACCTCGGCTCCGGAGATTTAAGTTCATTCTAAAGAATCCGCTTGCTATTGAACAGACGAAAATAGTTGTCACTATCAGACTGCTGTTTTATCCTCGTCATCAGGTAACAGGTTTTCTATTAATTTAACTCATTACTAATAACCCACAGTTTAGGAATCTGGCTGATTATTTACTGCAGTAGTACAATTCATCCAATGGAAGAAATTGATAGATGCATGAAGTATATTGATCACATACAACAAGCTGTTGAAGATCAGCAGTTAAAACCCCCCAAATTTAGGTTTAGTACGCAAGATTCTTTACTCATTCAAATTATTGAATCCGTGTATTATTTGTAGATAAAATCCGTGACCTGTATCACTTAAGCCAAACACGCAACCGAAGACAAAGTTATCAGATGGATAACCGTATTTTTATTCAACATTTACCGCACATTATAGGTGACTGTAGACAAGATTGCAGTGACTTGCACTGTTTTATTTCCGATATTTTTTCACAAATGAAACATTCTCTTCCAGACAGGCGGACTTTCCTCTGACCCTGTCCAACAGACATTCAGACACCTGTAAACGGATGGAAATGTTAAGTACCGGGTCATAAGCAGCGTACACATGTCAAAATTTGACTGGTACACCAAGTGCCTTCTTATCTTGTCTTGTCTACAGATTCGTTCCATCAGAAGAACATGGATACTAACTTGTTGGCCTTGCAAACACAGTCACAGTGACAAAGACTCCGCGTTCGTGAATGACTCACCCCGGTTGGAAGTGAGACATATTTACTTGGATAGGGATGATACCAGGAGATTTTCAGGTCGCAAGCAGAAAATCGGCTGTTGTTAGCAAACAAACAAATATTGACAAATATAAACCAAATATTTCAGGATATTATTTCCTTTCGGATTAGTTTTCTGGGGTATATATATTTGACAGATGTTTGGGGATTAACCTCAAGATATTCTTCAACTGGGTGGCATTCTCCAGTCAGATGCCCCCAAATCATTTTGCGCAGTTCTGAGTGACATGAATGGGTGGTGGTGGTGACATCACCAAATTATCATCCCGAGAGTCGTATGTTCCAACCTCACCACCACTAACTGACTTTCCCTCTTTGTGTGTTGGATGGCAGCCTTTGATTGGCCGCTTCATGAAAATTTTATCATCGCATATTCAGTAAAAGGAAGTTATTATGAAAAAGAAAACTTCGGTTGATCATTTATTCCTTTTAATCTGATGACATCTGGCAAGCGTTAACCGCCCAAATTCTCATTTTCAGGCTCTATTGTGAGTTTGACCGTAATAAAGAGAAACGACTTGGTAGAATGCGGTTAATGAATTTATTTTTGTGATATGCAGTTTTATTCAAATTATTAAGTGACAGATCCAATCGGAGATATTATTGTTTTTCAGATCACAGAGTTTATCAAGTGAGAAAATATCAATGCATTTAACAATTCTTTTTTATCGAACTGATGTTCCTGTGGCACATCACAGATCGGGGTCTCAAATTCCTAATTCTGTCGGAAATCCTAAAATTGCACGTGTTTGTGGCAAAAAAGTATAGGTGTTTTACTAAATCAATGCAGCTTTGTTATTAAGATAAAATGATCATTAAGTAACGAACAGCATGGTTTAAGGGGTTCTGGGGCAAAATAATGCTTTTTGAGGTAGGCAGTTGTTCAATCCCTAATATTCCTAAAAGGCCACTTTGATACTCGGCATGGAAGCAGTAGATTCAAATGTATTTTTAACGGGTTTTCGTACCCAAGAATCCACAAAGAGATCATTTTGTTAAATCAGACGTGGATGAAGTCTTCTAGGTTATGCACGGGAGTAGGTTTGAGGCCCTTTTCTTTATTTAGACGCTCAAGCACTCACTAGAGAAAATGTTCACTTGATTTTGATACCGCCGTGGAAGACTTCAATCATCCCCTAAACTTAATTGTATAGGGCTCAACTAGAAAATGAGGTTATCTATTCTGAATTAGTCGTTGTCGATGTATAGAGATAAATTAAATTCATACACGATTCAAAATGGCCAAATGGTCCAAACGTAGGGTGTTTTAATCTACGTGGGATAAAATATTGCATATTAGGTGTTTGAGGTTAGATGTGTACCAATGCTGATACTGAAACGCATACCAGTTCTTTTGCAAAAAATTGAGCGATGCAACCAATTCAGATCACAGACTGAAAGTTATAGATTACGAAGTGCAAATATCATCTGGCTCAAGGGGGTATTTTTCGTTTTATTCACATATACGTAAGTGTATTACTGTCGATAGCACGTGATCAATCAGCGAGGTAAAAAGTTTGTGGTCAATTATGAATGGAAAAGTACGATCGATCATCCCCTGTTGAGTTGAAGTATTCACCCATATTTGAGCTGCACGCTATAATGCAGTACAGAAAATTGTAACGGTTTGGCTTTCTGTTTAGGAGTGTTTCAGGTATTTCGAAGGAATAAACTCATTGACTGAATACTCAAAAAAACACTAAATAACCGCTATTTTTTCCGCGTCTTTCAGTTATCGGCGTCATTCTGATTATTGTCCTGATTGTGGTCCTTGTCTATTACTGCCGCGTACGACATCCAAAGTATCAAAGCGCTTACAACACAGACGAAGATCAGGGCAATCGAGCACAGACCGCTGAACACGCCCTCCAACAGAAACTGATTCGCCATCCCGATGTGAAACCAGAGTTGTATATTTGATTTCCTCTGGTCGGTTGTGTGCTGTTTACCGCATCACTCGCAAATCAAAACTGCTCTCCTGTTCATTCTTCATCGCTTCCTCATTTGAGCAACAACCCTGTTCGGCTCCGTTAAGTTGGAACTGTTCACAACGAGTCAACTGGTTACAAAAATCCGTTGGACTCCGGACACCTTGTGATTATTCCCTAATTTGTATTGTTGCCTTCTTCCTCTTGATCGCTTTTTATTCTTGCTTATCTCCCTGACTTGTTTGTACAGAAGAACCATTTGTATACTCTGCCCTGTATTCAGTCTGGTGACTAATCAACGGAATGCCAATATACGATGAGACCGATCCACGAGAGGATGTAACGTCGAACGAATTTCCAACATGCATATAGGCAAGATCCGGCATTGCCCTATTCCTATTCATTCTCACCCCGATTCCATCTATCCCAGTTTTCATTTCTATCCTTATTTGACTGGTCCGGCAATGTCCCTTGTGTATAGCTTCTTATTTGCAACCCAACAACCCCCTCCCTCACACACACACAAACATTGCCGTGTCTGCCAGTAAATGCAANACGCCCGCGTGCAACAACAAAAGCACGTTGGTGCAGGTTGCAGTGAATTGCGAACAGTCAATGGAGGTTGGCTGCCGACGATTGTGAAGAAGTTCGTATTGACTCATAGGGGGTTTTTCTCCGCAGGTTGCATACACTGTGCATATTACGAAATTAATTGGACAAGACATTGTCAAGTTGTTGATATCAAATAGCGCATGCACTTCAGCGAAGCAGTGTGCTGTATCAATGTTTTTTAATGAATCATGCTTGTAAAATTTGAATTTTCCATCCCATTCGCCGTGACCAAATTACAAATGACAACAAATACAGCCAACGGAGTACTTTAAACCTGTTGGTTGTTAACTTTGGTTGGGAATAAAACAAAAGAAGTGGAAAATCTGACTGACTAACATGAGTTACATTAACATACAAATGTAGAGAGACAATCCATGATACCGAAGAGGAAAAAAAAGTACAGAAGACCAGAGAATCAGTTTGCGTGTTTAGTTGATCCCTGCTTCAGTTCAGTCCAGCTATTACAACCATCAGCCGTATACCTTTGTGCCTCCGTTTTGATTGTTATCTTTGGGCTGACCATTTGGATAAAATAATAGAACGAAGATTGGAATGCTGAGAGCAGAGTCAAAGAGATAATAGAGAATCAATATAGAGCAGAGTCAAGAAGAACAAGTTGATGCTCGAGCGCCACTGTTTACGGTACAACTATATTGAGAACAACACTTCCAGCTCGGCGAACGAACCAACAACACTCACCCATATTATATGGTGTCTCTAACCACTGATTACCATGATCTCGGAATCCTCACCCAGGGAGCATAACGCGACATATATGACCGACTGTCCTGGTTAGAGATTTTTGTACCCCCAACCTTTTCTTTTTTCACCCACTACCTGATTCGGTGAACAACGCGTGCTGAGGCAATCTATTTGGCAGTTTGTGCAACACATGTCCTAGCCAGCGTAGTCTATGGAAGACAATGGTTTGCACTGGTGAACGACCGCGATTACCTAAAGCTCTGAGTCTAACGCCAGCATTACTTGTCCAGTTTCTCCCCCAGAATCGTGCCATGTGGCATGACAGTGATGTTCCAACACCGACAGTTAAACCCAAAACCGAAGTGAAAATGATACAAATGTGACCGGGGTGTAAACAAAGTTGTGATAAAATATTGATGAATGAGAACGGATAGATCAATTGGCGGGCACTAGAGTTTATGACACATCGATATCAACTGTGTTTTGTAGTCCAGCCTACGTTAAATTCAGTTTGTTTCACTCAAACCCGTACGCTTATCATGATCTCTGCATTGAGTCAGATCATGAACTGATGTTTGTCTCAACCGCCAAATTTTTCCTCGAGTAGTA